GGTGTGGATTCAAACCACGTGGCCTTTTGTAATTGACTGTCATCTGTTAATGAGCAGATTTTTTAAGTGATATCCATTTTTTGGGTATGGCATCTAGTGTGCTGTTAACCACTGGGACCACCAAGGCCAATTTATTCCATAATCTTGTGATCTTATTCAATTCTTTGTCCAATTAATAGTAGTAGTAACAGTAGTAGTAATCTTCACAGTTAAAGACTGGTGGAAACTTAGTAATTCAAATTCTAACCAAGGATCTAATAATTAAGGTAGCATCTGAGGATAGAGGCTGTTCCAAACAGGGGAGTTTCTTGTAAAATTACAGTGATCAATCATATAAATTCAAAATTTCCAAATATAAAGGAATCCTTTTAGATGCTGCTCCAAGGGCTCAAAACATGATTGGTACAATCTTTTTCTTTTCCCACAAACATTCAATTGAGATCTGCAAGTACCAGTATTTTATATGTTTCTGCAATTGTTTTTTCCTAAATCCTAGCATCAGCCAATATAGCAACATTGATGACCCAGATTTTCTTCTTTTCAATGACTGTTACACAGTATTAGGCATGTTATGAACAAGGTGACTGTCTGTTTAGGTTTTAAAGTTTTGTAAGGTTTTAATCCACTCATTTTTCAAAACCTTCTGAACCTGATTGTCCCACTGATTTTGCTACATTCAAATCCAAACTTCTTGCAGAGTTTCCAATGAATAATTTTGGCAAGCTGGTGATTATGCCGCTTATAGTCAATTTGTGAAATTTTGCTGCTGCAAATGATCAGATGATAGGTTGTTTAATTCTTTTTGTAATGGTAATAAAAACAGTACAGCTATGAATTCTTTAAATTATTATTTTTTGAGCCAGCCCAATTTTTCTTTAGCCTCTCTAAAGTTGTAGACCTCCATCTGAAAAATATTTGCCATCCTTATCACAAAGTTTCTTTGATTCAGAGGGTGATTTTCTGTTTCTCTCCCTTATCCCAGCCTAATACTGCCTCAGAACCTTTGAGTCACATATAGTCTTTACTCTGAAATCATTTGAACCTTTCCTTCTAGAGTTTGGACTCAAGTTGTTTGTTTGGTGTGCTAGGTTCATAAGCTTTAGCTCAACCCTGAGGCTAACAACCTTGCTTCATGATTGCTTACAACCTTGCTTCATGGTTCTGTTATAATCTGCTAACCTACTCCACTATTCTTTGTTTCCTTCATTATTTCCTCTCTCTTTCTTAAAGTATTTCCTTACCTCATTTGACTAGTGCAGTGTTTCTCAACCTTAACAACTTTAAGATGAGTGGACTTCAACTTCAGCATCGTTGGCTGGGGAATTCTGGGAGCTGAAGTCCACTCATCTTAAAGTTGTTAAGGGTGAGAAACTCTGGCCTAGAGGGATCCATTTGTCCTATACATGCCAAACTTACCTCTTTCCTATCAAATGCCCATTAGGTTCAGCACTTTATCCCCTACATTAAACTGGTTTTCTGCATATGTACACATATATCAATTTATATCTCATCTGACAAATACAGAAAACTAAGAATATGCTGAACACTATACAGAAATGTTCTGAAAGGGAAAGATGGTTATGCAGGATATGAATATGTAATTGCCTACTACAGTTTTCAAATCTGTATCAGATAATAAGTAGCAACTGTCCATGGATGTTATTTGGTTTGACCACATGTACACCTTATAAAAGCTGTTTTTGTTTTGTTTTGTTTTAGTTTGTATAACATTGTATGATTTAGGACTACAGATCTTTAATATTAAAAATTAGTAAAGACCAGATTGCTAACACCTTGGTTGGAGTAAATATATATTTCTGTTCATGATGACCTAGTTAATCCTTATTTTTCTAAAGTTATGGAGATATCATATAAATATTCTCAGAAAATCAGCATATCTATGAATTATTATCCAAGGAACATGAAACAACCTTTTCTGTCATCTGTTGCAAGAAATATAGTATACTAACAAATTTGGTATGCTATTTAGGAAATGTGTCTGTGTGTGTTAGGTAAAAGCAAGACAATATACCTCTTAAGTTTTGAAAACCATATATGGTGTCCATGTATCTTACACAAAGGCATGAGTAGAAAATTGCATCATATGAAACATATATATCCAGGTTTTCCAGATGATCAGAGCTTAATAAAGAAAAAGTATTTTATTTATTTCTAGACTGATCTTCTGATTCAGAAAGACCTTAATGTGAAAAAATCTTATTCCTTCCTTCCAGAAGACAATATTAGAGGAAAAAACCCTTAAGAACATGATGATTTTAAAACCCAGAAGAAAAATTATGAGAAAGGGAACAGCGAAAATTATTTTGCACTACTTCAGAACCTGTTTACATAATAGCAAAATAGTAACAACAAAAAAGTGAAAATCTGGAAAGTTGTTTTTATTAGTTGTGGGTCCCTTAGCACTGATTTCTGGCACCAGGCTTCTCCATATCCTTGTTGAGAGGTCAGCAGATGTACAGACGGTGGAACCCATAATTCCATAGAGACCTGAAGAGTAGGCAGTTATCACTGACAAATGTTGCAAGTTGCTCCATGCCTCTAAAGAAACCTGTAATCATTGATGAGTTCCTAATTTTCCTTAATCCTTTCCACCCAAATGCTAAGCTTTCCTGCTCCTGAAGCACTTCTGTAAGGGGCTTTGCTGAAGCCTCTGATGCCTTGGATTTAATGAAGCTGGAATTATTCCCAGATAATGCAGCTACCTTCCTAGTGTATACCTCAGAGGATAGAGAGGAGAATTGGCAAGGTACTTTTATATGCTAATTAGGATGCAAACTGAAAGGATTGACTATTTAAAACTATTCAGCTTTACAAACAACAATACCAGTGTTTTATCTCTAGGTTCCATTGTAGGTCTGTGGTGATGCCATTATATCTGTAACTCCCACATAACCTTTCTCCCCTTTCTTCCCTGTGCTTCCCACATGTGGAAAAGTAACTATTTGTGAATAGAACTCCTGATGCTGTTTTCTCTGCAATACATTAGTTTCCCCAAATAAATCAAATATTTTTTTCACATTCATATTCTTTCAGCTTATTATTCTTTTATTTGCTTTATGAATTAATGCCGGAGAGCCACCTGAATTTGTTATATGTCGCAGCCTTCAGCAATGTAAAAGAATATATATTTTCATATTTGGTTCCAATATGCTTATGAAAATCCATATATCCCTTTCTTTTCTATATTGCATGAGAATTTGTGTAATTTCTGTAGCTTGGGGATTGTATTGTGGGTCATCACACTTATAGAATATTGGTTATGTAATTTATATGAAAGGATATAAGGGTTAATGTAAATAATGCTTCTCTTATTCTACCTATATCACTGATATTGCCTTTACCTTCTCTGCACTGTAAACTGTCCACCAACTTATTCCCAGAAAGAATTCCTGGCTTCCATCATAAACATCCTCAGGTACTTCATATGCATTAGAAAAGAGAACTAGAATATCAAGTATCACTAAATTAAATTTGTCTATATAGTCTTGCAAAAATATTATAGATATATCAGTATAATTCAGCTTGCTTGTTTACAAGCAAGAAATGAATCCAAATTTTATTCAAATTCCATCAAACTTTTCTATAATCCGCTGATTTGATATAGAAATGTTGAGAACAGTTGTGCATCTATACTGACTCTTAAAGGAGATGCATTCATTGGAATACAAACTGTTCCATATGTTACCACCCATTTTATTTCTTTGTATTTGATATTACCTTACAGTATTTTATCTCACTCTATTTTATCCATTCTATTTTATTTTACTCCATTTTATCTTATTTTATTGTGGTTGATATTCATTGATGTGTAGATGTCTTCCTTCTTGAAAAATATTATATTAACATATATTATTTATATAATAATTATTATTCCTTCTTAGCATTGCTATTAATATTATTTATCCCATTATCAATTAGTAAAACATGCCATGGATATCATATATTGAAGCTCAATAAGCTTTCTCATCTCCTATATAAGGATATCCTGAAACTACATGGAAAATTACAATTAGAAACTGAAGTATTATCTTATATAGTCAACATTTATAGCAATGACAGTGCCATGGATTTTCAGTTAAGTAAGCATACATCATTTGTTGTAAACAAAGGAAAACCAGTCAAAAGTTTTGGAACTGAAATGCCAGATGGAAGCAAATTGAGAAGCCTTGTAGTAGAAAATAGTAACAAATACTGTATCTGAACATCTTACAAGCAAATAACATTAGACATGTGGAAGTCAAAGCCAGTGTAACCAAGAGAAACATAAGAAAAATAAGAAGAGTCTTAAAATCCTAAAAAGTTTAACAATGGAAATATTATTAAAGCCATCAACACCTGAATTATTTCAATTCTTCAATAGGAATTGAAGATAATATAGATATAAGCTAAACTAGAAGCATTCAGTTGAAAGTCTGAAACTATCACCATCAACCATATACCACACCCATGTGCTGAAATTGACAGCATGTAAGGATGATGCTATCAGTATACAATGATAAAGAACTTCATTGCACTTAACATCTTCTTAAAGTATTAATAGCTGAGTGTGGT